CAATTGAGACTGGGCTTGGTGGCATGCACCTATAATCCTAGCGCTTGGGAGGCTGAAAGCAGGTGGATCACTACGAGTCTGATCTAGTAGTGAGACCCTGTAGATCCAGTAGACTCTGTCCTAAATATATTAAAAAAATCAAGGCTCAGTATGCTGTATCCTGTGAGAGTTGGATTGTTTGACACTGACCAGCACACCACCACGCCTCTGCTAATGTGAGCAGATGGGCCTACTTAGTGGCCTTAGCACAATCTTGGGTCTCCTTGCACCCAAAGAGAAAAAGGAGAATCAACCACACAGTTATTATTGATGGAGAAGGAAAACCCATATAGTTTCTTGGAGGAAGCAAGACTTTTTTTTTTAATCCCCGAGAGCTATGCAGAATAATTTCTTAGCTTTCCTAAAATAAATAGTATGTTTGCCAACAACTGCCCTGCAAGACAAAAGGAATAGTGAAGGTGCTGCTTGTCACATCAGCCAAGGGTGGCCATTTGGCCCAGGGTGCAGCTTATAGAGGTTCATTGTGATCTATGAATGCAGCTCAGCATGCCCAGGAAGGGCTGGTCTTATATTGCGTGCCACTTTCGTATTCTCCAAGTCTTTTTTCCCCTCCAAGTCTTTTTAACTTTGGCTATGTGCATCACATCTAGCTAGATGAAGGAGGAATTCATTCATTCATTTGATGGAGGAATTCATTCCTTCATTCACCCATCCATTCACTCAGGACAATGTGCTCAGGTGTAAAAAGCTCAGGATGAAAAGATAAAGTAGGATCCTCACATCCAGGTTTTATAAGGATCACATCAGCAGAATAATTTAGCAGATACTAATGGCTGAAATTTGGAGGAGGCAAGAAAGAAATTTTTGGGCCGGCCAGATAGCTCAGTGGATTAAAGTGCCTGCTTAGGTAGACACAGAGGGGCAGAGGGACTGGGGTTTGGTCCCTGACATGCCATGCCAGCCCCACCCATGGGGTGTACTGAGACAGCTACAGACTGGGTGCGGTGGCACGGGCCTATAATCGTAGCACTTGGAAGACTGAAAACAGGAGGATCACTGTGAGTCTGAGCTGCTTAGTGAGACCCTGTAGACCGTGTACTAAATACATAAAGAAAGCATAAATTTTTGGGACCAAAATTTAAGAGAGTACCAAAAATCCCAATAACTAAGATAATATATTATTTATTAAAATAAAATTACTGCAAAAAATCAAAATGTACAAAATATCAAATGTGAACACAAAGACTGTTGTTTGAGGTCCTGCATGACTGGGCAAGGGTAATAGTCATTTCCAATTAGCCAGTTGTTCAGGTTCCCCTAAGTGGATTAATGTGGACTGAGAGTGGCATGCAAATAAACTGGGCAATGTGGGCTTTTTATGCATTTAGTACAGGGCCTAAAGGGGGGGGTCTCACTACATAGATCAGACTTGTAGGGATTTTCCTGTTTTCAGCTTTCCAAACCCTGGGATTACAGGCACGTGCCACCATGCCCAGCCTCAGTCACACTCTCAGCATGCCCCACGGTGGGGGGGAGCACCTCATGCCAGGGACGAAACCCCAGCTGCAGCACTCTGCCTAAGCAGGCGCTTTAGTCTGCTGAGCTATCTGGCCCGCCCAATGTGGGCTTTATGTGTAGTGTGTGTGTGTGTGTGTGTGTGTGTGTGTGTGTGTGTGTTGTTTGCAGGGTCTTTAGTACCTTCTGCCACTTGGTTAGAAATCTTGGAGACTATTTGCAAAATTGCATATAAGGGTACACATGTTTCCTTGTGTTTCAGCTCCCAATAGGGTCCTGCTTCTGTTTTCTAACTCACTCACTTAAGCCTCACAATGTTCCCAGCAGATGGATACTATTTATCACCCTCCTCCCTCTCTCCTGTTTTCCAGAAGGGAAAATGAAAGTATGTAGAGGCCTGGCAAAAAGCACTGACTGTAATATTGTAATACGTCACGGAACATGCCAAGTTGCTATATGACAACAGGTGCTAAATCTTGGTTGTGAACATTTGCGGACAATTTTAGTTCTGGTGAAACAAAGGTTGCATCAGGGATGTTGAGCTAAATGCTGGCTTTTAAAGTCAGGTGAATCCAGCTGCCTCAGGGCTCAAGGGTTACTGTGACCATGTGATTTGGGTAGAACACAGAGAGTACTAAGGGAGGGTCCCAAGGCTCTGGGGCTCAGCCAAGGGGTTAAGGGACAGGGCCTGTGAAAAAGTCAGGATACCCCATGTAGGACTCAGTCTGATCCATGGCAGGGCTGTCTGAATCTGTCTGCAAGATGAGGACAGAACATTTTCCCTGCTTTTTTTTTTTCTCTGAACCCACTGCCTCGAAAACTAAATGACATCTTGGGCATCAATGTGCTCTGCATGCTGTATGAATTTAAAGGCGCTTGAGAAACATGTCTGCTATAAAAATACGTAGTACATTCCAAACCTATGAGCATTTCCCACCCACCTCTGTGCCTGAGTCGCTGCATTCTCTTCCCCAGGGAAGGCCCCCTCAAGCAGCTCGTTGTGTCTCTTTTGGACAATAGTGTGCACACAGACAAGCACTTAGATTCCCGTGGGCCAGGGCACTACATTTAAGGGATTTATGATGAGCACAGCTTCCAGCACATTATATAGCAGGGAATGCTGCCAAGTGGCTGGGAAATGGAACATTTTGGGCATCAAATTATACTTCATAAGTAATTCTAAATGAAGGGTTCTCAAGCTCAGCCCTGCTGAGAATTTGGACTGGACCATTCACCATCATGGGGGACAATCCTGTGTACAGAAGAAGCAAATTCGGCAGCATCCCTGATCTTTACCTCCTGGAAGTCAGGAGCATACCACAGCATCCTCCCAATCCCCAAGGCTGGCAGCTGAAAATATCCCCGGGGAAAGGGAGCAGCAGAATCACCCTTAAGAGCCACCATCTGGCTCGGCATGGTGGCACATGTCTGTAATCCCAGGACTTGCGAGAATGAAGCAGGAGGATCCTCATGAGTCCAAGGCCAGCCTGGGCTACACAGTGAGTTCGAAGCCAGCCTGAACTACAAAGCGAGACCCTGTTTCAGAGAAAAAAAAAAAAAAACAAACAAACCCAAAAGCCCCAAACTCCACTGTTCTAAAGCGTGTGTGATGTCTGCAGAAAAGTGATAGACAATTAAGAGGATAACTGTGGAGGACCTAAAGGGACAACAAATTAGGAATCTGTGAAGAAAACAGAAGGAGCCAACAGACAAGAATTAAAAGTCAACACTCTGTAACCAATGCAGGCTCTTCCTGAAGGGCATCATAAGGACTAACTTCCTAGCTCTAACAGGGAGAACAGCAAATAGGTTTAAGGGGAAGAGAGAACAAGATGATTAAACCTTTACTTATGCCTCTTCCTGAAGGGTATCCTTTTTTTTTTTTTTTTGAGAATAGTTATGAGCAGAATAATAAAACTAGGCTAGGGATAGTTCTCTTGGGCCTTGTGTTATGCTTGGAAACTGTTCAAGTGATTTTAACAAAAATGTTTATTCCATGACCATGTCTGCTACGATGCTTTTAAGAAACCCTTTTGCTTATTAGAAGATCACTATTGCTAATTATGAAAAATTAGAGTGTGTAGCAAAATTAAAGAGAGGGAAAAATTGGAAACACCCTTGGTCCCCCTAGCCAGTGAAATGCTACATTTGATCTTTCAGTGAATCCCTTTTGCAATTATGCCCTTTATTTAATACATGCAAGTATATTTGTAGGGAGAAATACATTACACTCAGGTACAAAAAACGGGTCATTTGCCAGGGAGATGGCTCCGTGGACTAAATGCTTCCTTGGCAAGCACAAGGGCCTGAGTTCAATCCCTGGTTCCACAAAATAAAATAAAAAATAAAACATAGAACCACATTCAGTTTGATAGACTCATTGTCTGACACACAAAAAATGGGTCATTTCACAAAACACTTTCTATTAGTTCACTGAAAGGAACAGTTGGCGTTTATATTGTTTTATCAATCTTCCATGCCTATATCTGGTAACCTGAACAACTACTTTGAAGATAACAGAACGTCATATAATAACCATAATTGGTTATGTTAAATTCCTATCATCTTGTTTTGAAGTTCTATATCTTTTTTATTATTATTGTCTGTCAAATAAAAAAATAATCCACTTTAAATGTCTTTTCTTGTCAATAGGTATCTACCATCACATGATTACATTTTTGCAATGTATGGATACCTTAGAATTTAATACATCTTCTATTTTTGGAGATTTAAATTGCTTCAAGTATTCTGAGATCATAATTACTTCTGCAAATTTACCTTAGTTAGTTCTTTGCACCCCTGTACTCCCTTCTCCTACTCAGGGCAAGTTCCTAGACTTAAATAGCTGCAGCATAAGATAAATATAGCTTCTATGGATGCAGAATAATTGGTAAAATTATGCATATTTTGTAAAACTTTTGCTAGGAATTGCTTATTGGCCCTTGAAACAGGTGATTCAATTTACATTCCTTGGGTGGTACTGGGTTTTGTTTTTGTCTTTTAACGTTTGCCAAATTGAAAATTTGATGGGTGAGGGTGGAGATTGTTGGAAAAGTTATTTCTTTCCATAGAAAACTGCGTGGCCCAGTTTTAGGTCTTTTAAAAACTGTCTTTTATTGTAATTTTCTTTTTAATTTTTTTTTTCAGTTGAGCAATCACTTGGAAAAAGAGAAGGAGAAACTAACCTGTTTTTCTTTCTTTTTTTTTGAGGGGGGAGGAGCTTGTGCTCTGATAAGACAGTACTACATTTGGTCATTGCAGCCAGCCAGGAGAGCCAAGCTGTTTTTACTGTGCTAGGGTCTTCCTAGGGCTGCAGGGGCGATGTTAACACACCTACGCCTTACACTGATTCAGAGACCTCCCAACCCCTCTGTCCGTCCGCCACAGCCCAGCCTCTGAGGGCGGGGCGATCTGTGTGGAGACGCCTGGCTCTGTGGATCACACAGTGTAGGCAGTTAAGGACATTTGCCCCGCGGGGCTCCGGAGCCAAGAGGTGACCAGGAAGACTGGGCTGGGCTGAGTGGCTGGGCCAAACACGTGACGTTCCCAGCTTGCCTCCTGGGCCTCTGGGCGCTTGCGACTGAAATCGACATTTGCCTCTGGCAGGAAAATGCACTTGCTGGTTTCCGCCTGCATCAGACCCTCAATCCAAAGGCTCTGGGAGCGCGGTAGCGTTTGAAGTTGCTATTTTAGGAATCTGACAGTGAAAGGTAAGTTGTTTGTTATTCAGCAAAACAAACCTGACAGGAATAACCTAGAAAGTCAGGGCCACCTTGTCGATTTTAAAAATTTGGTCTTGAAAATAATAGATATCTTTGAGAGGCAAGGGCTGTATTTATCGCCAATTTAGAGATGGGCTTTCTGAACAGAAATTTGGTCAACCTGCAGGGATGGTGGTGACAGAGCCAGGGTTAAATATAGAAGGACACGAAAGCTGCTGGAATAAATAGTAAGCAAGCTCAACTCCAGCCTGCTTGGAAAACTATCTATTTCACAATCCTGTCGGGGCTGTGAGCAAAGAAAATGAGAAAATAGTGATTTAAAGTCCGGTGAAAGTAAATTAATCTATATGATACTGGAGTACAAGTAAAAGCTAGTTTCTGCTTTTATACTTTTACTATTCAAAACCGGATAAGTGGCATGGCAAAGAAAATTTTATATTGCTGCCCTTTAGTTTGAAATATGCTATGTCAAATTTATGAAATTATTACAGTTGGGATTTTCTAAGGCTTTGCAGGCAAAGCTGTTTCAGTTGTAAATGAGAAATGTTGACATTGTACATATTTTTGTGATAGTAAAATGACTCACTTCAGAATGTGATAAAAATTAGAAAATATGAAATAATGAGTTGCTGTGAAACAGGTCTTTCATTCCTGAAAGATTAAATGTGTTACCAGAAAATGTAAGATAAATACAGAGCCAGATACAATTTTGCTCGTGTAATAGTGCTTTATTTTAAATAATCAAATATTAAGGGCTGGCCAAATAGCTCAGCGGATTAAAGTGCCTGCTTCGGCAGAGAGCAGCGGCCAGGGTTCGATCCCTTTCCTGTCGTGGCGGCCCCGCCCAGCGGGGCGTGCCGAGGTGGCGATTGAGACTGGGCTTGGTGTCGCGCGCCTGTAATCCCAGATCTTTGGGAGGCTGAACACTATGAGTACGATCTATGTAGTGAGACCCTGTAGACCCTTACTAAAAATATAAATAAATAAATAATCAAATATTGAAGTAAGTAGTATTCACATGGTGTGACTTTTTCCCTTTGGTAAATACAAATTAATACTGGAATGCAGCTATTGAGAATAATTAAAGCAGGCAGAATTCATCAGTGTAATTAGTATGATAGTCCATAATGAACTGCTTAGAATTAAAGCGTTCCATGCAATACTTGACATACAACTGGAAACACTGAATCTCTATGCAAGGTATGCCCATGCGTGCTATAGTTTGTGTCATTGTGATTTGCACAAAGTATATTTCTCTACCGCATTTGATAAATACTGATTTTACAGTTAAACACTATATTGTATTTCCTTTCACTATAATCCCCTTATTGCTAGTTGTTTTTTCTTTTTTAAATCCTATTAGGTGCCTGAAGCCTGTAATAATTTGGAATTCTCCTGTTTGTTTCCCATAATTCTTCGTGAAAGGCCTGGCACGCTGATCACGAGCAAAAGGACCTGAAGGGAGGTCAGAGTGAGGTTTCCGGCCACTCGCCACTCACCTCCTGAGCCGCTCAGGGTCTTTCCCCTCCACAGACCTCCTGCCTCGCTCCCAAAGCGTCACGTGGAAGTTTGGAGCCCGCCTCCCGGTGACGTCACGGCGCTCGCAGCCATCGCGCCGGAGAAAGGATGCTCTAGGATGCTGTCCAGGTGGGCGGCCGCGCTGCGCGATGCGGCACTGCAGGTAAGGGGCCCGCGGCGCCCAGACACCTTCCCGGGCACCCCAGTGGCACGGGCGCTGCAAGTGGAGCCCCACCGCCGACGGTCCGTCTGAGCCCTGCAGCGCCCCGCCAAACGGAATATGGGACCTCTGGCTGCTGTGGCGCCTGCTGCTCACAGCTGCCCGCCCGCCGCCGCCGCCGCCGCCGCCGCCGCCGCTGCTGCTGCTGCACCGGGCGGGGAGTGGCCTGGGGCAGGTCCACGCGTGACTTGGTTCTTGGCGGATCCACCTCGCGAAGGTGGGCTGGGGCCGCCTAGAAAGACAGGAGATGTAGCACAGAAGGACAAAAGAAATCTGGAATGACCACAGTGAGAGAGAGAAAAAGATAACCACCAACCGTTGTTGCCCCACTGTTGTTGTGCTTCTTAAATAACATTACCTATTCTCCTTACATGGGTTTGTTCTCAGCTGTTGGCCCGATTTCATTCAGGGCAAAAGCTTGCTGGGGGTTGGCAACTTCTCGCTTAGCAATTTAAGGGCCAAATGTGCTTTGTAAGTAATTTTTCATTCTTTTACAGGGTTCCAGCATGTAAATGTATTTTTCTTCCCGGTATTTTCAGTGGATTTAAAAATGATAGAGTCAAATACAATGAAATAAAATGTAGCCTCCCAAGATAATGCCAGTGTAACAGACTGCTAAATCTCTAAGAACAAAATGGCCCTTGGTGGGGCTTGGGGGTGGAGATAATGCAAACCCTAAGAACCTCCAGAGTTCTTAATTCCCTTGCTGAATAATGAGCTTACTGAAGCAGGGGCCTGATGACTCAGGTGCAGATGGAGGAGGTCAGGTGACTCTTCAGTTCCAGCATGGCAGTGTGTGTGTGGGGGGGAGGGGAGAGTTGATAGAATTTTGCGGACCGTGTTTACATTTCTTTCTCTGGGGCTGTAGCCAGGACATGCATGGGCACTCTCAGAAGGTGAATGTGCCATTCTTTCCTGAAAGCCTGATCCCTCTGGAAGCTGAGGCATCAGTCAACTATATTGAAACTCACACCATGAACTACTGATCCAGCAGGCACTGGGGTGGGGGAGGTAGTAAAACAGTGCTATTTTCATTGACCGTGAAGAAGGCATTTCTACCAGTTTCCGGTACCCTGATGTATTGCAGCGGTGATTCATTTATTTATTTATTGCAGTTTTCTTTCTCTGGTTCAGGTTAGCTACAAGGGCGAAAAGCAAAGCTGGGCATGGTAGCACCTGCCTGTAGTGCCAGCACTCAGGAGGCTCCAGGAGACTCACTGCAAGTCTGAGGCTAGCCGGGGTTACAAAGTGAATTCTGAAGCTTGAACTGCAGAGCAAGACCCTGTCTCAAAAAACAAAACAAAAAGGATGAAAAGCAGTTAGGGATGTAACTCAGTGGTAGAGTGCATTCTTAGCGTGCACAAGATCCTGGGTTCGATCTCCAGCAGAAAAAAGAATGAAGAATCCCTAGCCCTGACCCCTCTTCCCTGGCCTAATTCTAAACTGAGCAAAGCAGATGACTGAGGCAGACATAACAGAGACCTAGATTCCAGTCTCAGCCTTGTAGCTATGTAACCTTGGACAAGCCACTTTGTGTCATTAGGTCTCAGTTTTTTTTCATCCTCAAAGTACCAAAAGGATTTAGATTAGGGTCTCAACTTTGGGACAGTTGGCATTAGGCACTGGACAACTGTTTGTCCTGGGGGCTGTCCTGTGCATTGTAGCATGCTTAGCAGCATCTGTGGTCTCTGCCTACTAGATCTAGGTCCCTCCTTTCAGTTGTGCTAGCCAAAAATGTCACAGAAATTGCCACAAGTCCCATGAGGACTCTGGTGCTCCCAGGTTGAGAACCACTGACTCAGGTGCCTCCTTTTCCTCCCTGTCGCCTCCCTTTCCCCCATCTCCCCCTGCTCCTCTGCCTTCTCCCCTTCTTCCTCCTTCTCTTCCTCTGCCTTCTCCTCCTCTTTTTGCAGTGCCTTGGCTGGAGCCTGGGCAAGTGCTTTATCACCAAGTTCCTCCAGGCCCCAGGTGAGCTTGCCATGCTCTTCCGGCTCCAGTGTTACAGAGCTCACTTTCCTATGATTTGTTCAATGTGGAGTTCTTGGTTAAAAGTCTGATTGTTTTTCATAATGTCATATATATTGTAAAATACAGTGTGAAGGCCTTTTTAGATCAAAGATTTTCAGGATCAGCTTCTGTCAAAATGGTGGGGGGCAGTTTGTATGCCGTTTGTACCAAGGGCACCAGCCAGGCAGAAAGGAGAGTGTTGGAGAAAGAGGAAAAAAGCTGTAGATGACTGTGCTGCAACCTGTGAGCCCCTTGTTCCCACAGTCCTGAGTGCATCCTGTGCATGTGCAGTCTCAGCCTTGGGCAGACCTGCCTCTGAGAGGCAACTTCCTCTTCGGTGAGAGCGGGGATAACGATCTGTGCTCAGAGGTGTTCTAATGATGAAATGTGATATCCTGCATTACTGTCAACTGTGGCAGGGCTGGTGACAGTGTCCATACAGCTGGGAGATGAACACAAAACTGCCCATTGTGGTGAGGACAGCACACTGAGGCCTCAGAACTGGACACGAGTCTCAAGGAAAGTCTGGCTTTGGCACATATGAGAGCCCCAGGGACTGCCTCCCTTTGTTTCTGAGAGCACTTGCCAGATGCATAACATGGGTCCAGTTGTCCTTGCTGGCCTACTTCCCTGGCCTTTTGGGGGACTGTGTGGAAAGCAGAAGTTCCGCAAGCTGAGACACTGTGGGGAGCCATGAAGCCTTGATGGCAGTGGCTTTGCAAGGTGTGTGACATTTTTACCAAGCATTGGGAGAAGGGGTATTCACAGAGCCAACATACTTCCTTGATTCTCAGGGTTGGGACCATGACGTGCTCTTCCCCTCTGCCCCTGAAGTGTGGCAGCGGCTCTCCCTCCTCGGCTCCCTCCTTCTTCAGCAAACTGTGCTGGCTCTGTGAAGTGCCTCCTGTTACTAGTCATCAATTCCCAGCGCAGCGATTCAATTGAAAGCATAAGCTGTGGCTGAGTGGAGGAATAGCGAGTGCTGTGCGATGATGGTGTGAATGGATTATTGTGTCCTCCTTGGGCATCCTTTCTTTCTCTTAATCATTCACACAAAAGGAGAAAGCTGCCACATGGAAAGTAGCTCTCTGGCGTGGCAAGGACCTGAGGTTCCCGTCCTCCTGCAGCCTCAAGGGGCTGAAACCTGACAGTGGCGTGAGTGTGTTAGACACAGATCTCAGCCCCAGGTGAGCCTTAAGATGGCGGAAGTTCATGAGAACCCTTGAGCCAGTGCCCAAGCTGAGGCACTCCTAGATTCTTGCCACTGGAACAGTGAGATGGCACATGGGTGTTTCCTGCTGGTTTTTGGGAGCAGTTTGTTTGTTACACAGCTATAGATAGCTAATGCATGTGCTTGTAGAGAAGAGTCATATTGTTTGGAGACACACACTGAGGTATTTAGAGTTGAAATGTCATGATAGTTTTCATGAAATTTAGTTTTCTTAATTCTTTTTATTTATTTATTTTCCTTATATATTTAGTACAGGATCTACAGGGTCTCACTGTGTAGATCAGACTCTTAGTGATCCTCCTGTGTTCACCCTCCCAAGTGCTGGGATTGCAGGCACGTGCCCTAATTCTTTTTTAAAAAAGATTTCTTGAACATTCTAATGTATGGATGAATGGAAGACATGAATTATGCATTAAATTCACAGCTGTTTCTACATTTGTCTGTTATAATACCACATGTCATGTAACCTCTGGAAAATTCTACCATCTACTGATGAGAGAAAGGGCTTAAGAAAAGGCACATAACAGCTCAGGGTTATTATAGAAAATATTTCTGATACTACGAATCTTCTTAAAGTGTCTCAGCATCCCAAAGGAGTTCTCAGACCACACTTTCAAAGTCATTGTTCTAGATCAGTAATTTACTTTCAATGGTTCAGTTAAACGAATAGAGAGAAAGAGGAGGCAAATATAGCCAAATAGGAACAGTTGCTGAATCTGGAGTCATTTATTGGATTCTTCTGAACAATGTTCTATGTATTGGAAAATAGTCATAATAAAACTTTAAAGAAATATAGGCTCTTAGATGGGGGTTCCGGATTGAGTAGCTCTGAGGTGAGGCTCAGGGGAACATTTTAATTTTCTTTTCTTTTCTTTTCTTTTCTTTTCTTTTCTTTTCTTTTCTTTTCTTTTCTTTTCT